GTGAGAGTGTGAGTGTGTGTGTGTGTGTGTGTGTGTGTGTGTGTTCGGGGAAAACACGTCTAAAGATATTTGAAATACTGAGTATATCTGAAACGATGAAGACTTTAGCTGGAGAAGATGAAGTGTTCTCTCATGGGAGAAACACGTTATTATTTAAAGCAGCTGCAATTATTTCTGTCCTAACTTATAAAGTTTGGTGAAATTATTTAAGATTCAAATATGGGAAAAATCTAAATATTGAGAAAATCATCTTTAAAGTTGTTCAAATGAAGTTCTTAGCAATGCATATCACTAATCAAAAATTAAATTTTGATATATTTACGGTAGGAAATTTACAAAATATCTTCATGGAACATGATCTTTACTTAATATCCTAATGATTTTTGGCATAAAAGAAAAATCTATAATTTTGACCCATACAATGTATTGTTGGCTATTGCTACAAATATCCCCCAGCGACTTAACACTGCTTTTGTGCTCCAGAGTCACATATGCATTGGATAAAAGCATGAATTAGTTTTTTATTTGTATATTTTCCATTTTTATTTTAAGTAAAGTTTGTGTCATTCTGTTGTGCATTTTTGTTGGTTTTATTAGTTTTAGCTTTTTTGTTTAAATGCTAGTTTTAATTATTTTAATTCAGTTTTTAATAGTTATTTTCAGTTGTTTAGTTATTTTTAGTTTTAGGATATTTATTAATATTTTGAATGAGGTTTTATATTTTCTGGTTTCATTTTAATTTTAGTTACTTTTAGTCATTTTGTTGTATGTTTTTATTATTTTTCTATATGTCTAAAAAGTTTTTATATTTTTTTTATTTCAGGTTTTGTTTAGTTATTTTAAGTTGTTTAGTTATCTTTATTTTTAAGATATTTATTAATATTTTGAATTTTTTTTTTTTTTTACATTTTCTAGTTTCATTTTAATTTTGGATAAAGTTTTAGTCATTTTGTTGTGCTTTTTAAACAAATAATGTCTATATATTTTTTATTTAATTTTTTTAGTTATTTTTTGTTTTATGATATTTATTAATATTTTGAATCAGTTTTTTTATATTTTCTGCTTTCATTTTAATTTGAGTTAAAGTTAGTCATTTTGTTGTGCAATTTTGTCAGTTTTATATTCTTATTTCAGTTTTTGTTTAGTTATTTTCAGTTTAATTTGATTTAGTTTTATGATATTTATTCATATTTTGAATTAGGTTTTATATTTTCATATATTTATAGGTTTTATAGTTTATTTTAGTCATTTTTATTGGTTTTATTAGTTTTCTATGTCTAAATAGTTTTTATAAAAAAAATTTATTTCAGATTTTTTTTCTTAGTTATTTTCAGTTTAATTATATTTCGTTTTATGATATTTATTCATATTTTGAATTCGTTTTTATATTTTCTTTATTTTATTTTAATCTTAGTTATTTGTAGTCATTTTGTTGTTAGTTTTAATAGTTTTCGATATGTCTAAATAGTTTTTATATTTTTTCTATTTCAGTTTTTGTTTAGTCATTTTCAGTTGTTTAGTTATTTTTAGTTTTATGATATTCATTAATATTTTAAATTGGTTCTTATTTTTATATTTTACATTTTCATTTTACAATTTTTAGAATTTTTTTTAAATGTGATTTTTTTTCAGAATTTTTTTTTTAATTGTAAAAAAAATTAGAATTAAAAAAAAATCTGTTTTTGTTTGGTTCTTTTCAGTTTTAGTAATTTTAGTACTTCACCTCAAACTAAATTACTATTTAATATAAGTATAACTGGAAGTGTTTTTTATATCAGTCGACATTTATTTGAAATGTTTTTAATAAAGGTGTTTCTGCTGATGTTTTGCTGCAGTCGGCTACACGATGAACGACCTGATCTTCGAGTGGCTTGAGAAAGGTCCGGTGCAGGTCGCCGAGGGTCTGACGTTACCGCAGTTCATCATCAGAGACGAGAAGGAGCTTGGCTTCTGCACCAAACACTACAACACAGGTCAGAGCATCACACACACTCATAACTAGAGATCGACCGATATATCGATTTACCGATATTTTTTCCGATATTTAAGCATTTTACAATAATCGGATATCGGTTTTGTAATATCGGATTCACCGATAAACGCCGCCATCTTGTGGATGTTTTGAGAATTGCGCGCAGGATCACCATTGCAGCGCATCTGATGGGAAACAAGACAACAACAACGGCGTGCA